GTTTAAATTCTCCATTTAGTGCTCTATACACTATAACAATGAAAACCAGTAATGGTATAGAATAATATACCTCTGGCATTTCGATATTGAAGTCCTCAGCCAATAAATGATGCACATCATATACTCCCTCTGCTCTCATTACAATATAGCCAACTTTCTTCTGGATCCTCCTGTTAATACAATTAGCAGCAAATGTATCTAATAAGTATCACTTGAGAATCATTATATATATATAACATGTACAACACCAATTTGTTTTGGACTTCATCAACAAGTTTTCTTAGCATCCCCTTGCTGAGGAATAATAGAATGCAAATCTAAAGTCATCTATATAATTAAAAGACTTGCCTCCAGTAAAAGATTCAATAATAGAACATTAAGGTCATTAATGATGTACCCTGTAATGCCAACTATATTTTCAACACGCTGCTCAAAAACGGGTACCCTGTAAACAGAAATCTTTTAACAAGTTTCTTGAAGGAGATAAAGCCTTAGAGATGAATTACCAATTCCCTACCTTGAATATTGGTGAGTCACCCATGGATGGTGAAAATCAACAAGAGTTGCACTCGCATCAGTTGCAACCACATCAACAAGGGGTGTCATGACCTCTCTAACATGAGTATCCTTTATTTCTAATACAGTTTCAATCATATCCTGCAAGGAAAGAATCTGACTATTTAAACAGAAATTGGTAGAGAAATATATGGCAAGAAAAAGATATGCTCTATTGTAAATGTGCAACCAGAGTCAAGCATAGATGATACCGATCAATTTCATCTCAGTAAAAGAAATTTTCTAATTCTTATTTGCAACAAAAGAGACACTCAGGCAGGTACAATAAAGAAAAATTAGCTTATTTCACTACATGCTCTTCCTCCTCTATTGCTCCACTCAACTCTGCCCCACGTAGCATCAGCTTTAATTCATCTTCAATAACATAAGGTTCACTAATTTAAAGAGAAAACATGCAAAGCATTCATAAAGCAATCAATATAAACTTACACTAACAAACAACTGGAAACAAGAAACGCAATAGACGAAATGGAGGATATGATTTCCTTATTCCCATTAATAAATAAGTAACAATTCTTCCCACCAGATGTAGTATCAAGGAAAGCCATGCCACTAGCCTGACCTAATGACACATCAAATGACATTAGCCAAATAATTTTAGTTTGCTAGCAGTCATCAGCTAAGTAGAAAAGAGTTAAATAGCAACATAGACCATGGAGTTTTAAAGAGAAAGTTAAAGTTTTTCAGCAAAGTTTTAGTTGCATGTTCAAGAAGAAAATGGAAAACTTACCACAAATCCAGCCACCTCTTTGGGATTGTGAATAGCTATAGTTTTTGGAGTGATCTCAGTAAGATGCAAAGTAGCAACCTAGGATCATTCAGAAAAAATTCAATGGTTATGATTTCTTTCTATCTTTTATGTTCACT